TTTTTTACGAAGAATAGAGAGTTGATTTTCAATTTCATTATAAATTAAGGTTCTTGCTTTTTTCTCACCAATTTTATTTTTACTGCTCATCTTATCAACTTGAAATTCAAAATTCCTACCATAAAGAGACCAGCACATAATTTCTTCCTGATTAGCCTTCGAAGCTCGATCTTCGGCGTCTATGGCTGTATCACACAACTGAGCTAAATATTGTGATACCTCATTAATGTCGAATTAATTAACAATACACTTTACAGAACCATTAACCCCCATATATTCCATAATCTGTCCTGGTTTAATATTTTTTGATATAGAGTGATCTTGTGAACTTGGCTCTAAAGAAGTATTGAACAATTCTTGCCGGAGTTTATCTGTTCCCTTTTTCTTATGGTTAACCAAAGATAGGGCTTGATCTCGAAGTTTCTTCTCCTTAATGCACTGAATTATCTTTTTACTAACCGTTTCTTTATGCTTTGAATCCAGGAATTTATTTTCTTCCTTCTCTTCCAATGATATGGTTTCTGCGGGAGATGTGGGGGTTACTGAATCCTGGTATATATCAGAATTAGACTCCTTATGAGTATTATTAGAATTTTCTATTTTAGTAAAAACGCTTATTGTCTCATTCTTTGCTGACAAGGAAATTGGTAACTGCTCTGAAGAATCGGTGGTTATTCCCTTTGATTTGATTTTCTCAAAATCACGTCTTAATTTTGCTACTTCAGGTTTAAATATTAATTTATATAACTTTATTAGAAATGTTTGGAAAACGAATTTTACTGTACACGTTTTGAAAAATACGTATATTTTTTTGATAGTTAATACTTTTAATTTCAAATAAAAAAATTCAAACAAAAAAGAAATATGCGACTAAAAATGAAACAAGAAAAGAAACAAAAAAAGAAATAAAAAAATAAACAAAATATAATTTTCTAGATACAACTCGCAATTCGTCTACTTCTATGGTTAACAAATCCGTCACCATCTCCAAAACCACCCTATCCAACTCTCTATATGTACACACCGCTACTTTTCTTTCTCTTTCCCTACTTGCCGACTCATACGCACTCCCACCTATTCTCTCTTTGCGAACACCAACTACAGATCCAAAATGAAAATTACCATCTCTCATAACAGTCCTCAACTCATCCACATGCTTTCTCTCTAAAGAATGACTCAATTGTTTAATTAAATTTTAACAAAAAAAAAACGATGAATAAAAAAAAAACTAAAAATACCTATATTTTGATTGAAATATGCTTTACACTGCACAACTCCTCTGAATCCACATAATATAATAATAATATCTCTACCGCCATCTCGACTTTTTCTAGAATAATAGATAAAAAATTGAGCATGATTCATAATCGT